AAAAGAAATAAAGACATGATAACAGATGATAAATAGAAAGAAAGAAAGAGAAATAAAGACACGATAACGGAGAATAAACAGAAAGAAAGAAAGAGAAAAAAAAAAAAAAAAAAATCTGAGATGCATCGCAGACACGTGTCTAATACTTTCAAAGCTATTTACACCTCCGCATATTTAACCATGTCCTTCCCTCTTTAGCTTTTCCCAACCGTCCTTCCGGGAAAAAATGTCACGTAGAAAGCATGAAATATACAAGAAAAAGACTAAGAAAAAGACTAAGAAATTGTGAAAAGTTGCTGGCAGGAAGTTCCCATTTTCAGAGGTCGTCGACTCCTGTGCTCGAGCCAAGTCACTTGAAACGCATTCGTCCTTAGAACAACATGGGATTTATAATGTTAATTGAAGTGTATAGTATATTGAGGAAATGTCAGCGAGCACCTGGCTGTTGGTCGAGGCTCGCAAAGTCACATAAGGATGTTGGGAATCTTTATTAACAGTGATGGTTGTTGATGGCTTGTACAGCTATCTTCAGGAGAAATGTTTTTATTAACTCTTGTCGCCTCTTTCTCGCTTCTTTCTTTCTCTTCTTGTATGATGTGGCGATTTCGGAGCTGGGAAGTGCATCTTCGCGTGTTTCATAATGGTTCGTTCTTATGCAGTGGGATTTCATTGACGAAGTTCTTGGTAGAGGGATTCGTGTGTTTTCACCAGTGCTTATCTGGTTCGCTCTCTGTTTATCAATCTTCTATCTATCCCTTCTTCTCTCTGTCTCTGTTTCTGGCTCTCTCTTTTCTCTCTCTCTTCTCTCTCTCTCTCTCTCTCTCTCTCTCTCTCTCTCTCTCTCTCTCTCTTCTCTCTAGATAGATAGATAAGATAGATAGATAGATATAGATATCTGTCTATCTATCTATCTATCTATCTCTCACTCACCTCTCTCTCTCTCTCTCTCTCTCTCTCTCTCTCTCTCTCTCTCTCTCTCTCTCTCTCTCCTCTCTCTCTCTCTCTCTCCTCTCTCTCTCTCTCTCTCTCTTCTCCTCCTTCCCTCTCTCCCCTCTCTCTCTTCTCTCTCTCTATCTCTATCTCTCTCTCTCTCTCTCTTCTCTCTCTCTCTCTCTCTCTCTCTCTCTCTCTCTCTCTCTCTCTCTCTCCCTCTCTCCCCTCTCTCGCGATCTACTTCAGCAAAAACTATCTATTCACGCATTCGCCCAACAACTTATCTATCTGTACTCTCACCCATCAACTTTTTATTCTACCTGCTTCACTGTCTACTTATCTGTCTACCTGCCTGTCTATCTATGTATCTGTATATCTATCTGTGTGTCCGTGTTTCTTAACAAATTGATGAGAAGAATAGGTGAAGAATGATGTTGAAAATATATAATGATGATGATAATAATAGAACTAGATGATATTGATGATGGTAGCCGAAATAATAGCAAAAGCTAGCGATAGTGTAATAATGATGATAATAATGATGAGATAAAATTATCAATAATGATGTTAGATATGAATAGTAATAATAATGATGATGATGAGGATCATGATGATAATAATAGTTAGTAGTAGATAATAATAACAATAATAATAATAATAATAATAATAATAATAATAATATAATAATAATAATGATAATAATAATAATAATAATAATAATAATAATAATAATAATAAATGAATAATAATAATAATAATAATAATAATAATAATAATAATAATAATAATAATAATAATAATAATAATAATAATAATGATAATGATAATGATACTACTGAATATAATAATTATATTAATGATAACAATACTAATAGTAATGATAATATGATAGATTGATGATATCATCATCATATGTTAATACTATTACTGCTGCTACAAATACTAACACTAATAAATCTTTGACACCAATAATAACTGTTGTAATCATAAAGACATCGATAAAATAACAAACGATAATCAACATCATAAAAAATCAACAACGAAGTAATACCAACAGCAAGTCCCTCCTCTTTTCCTTTCCATTCCTCAAAAACTGCCCAACTAATTACAAAGTTATTAATAAAACTTCCTGACCTTTACGGCTGTCTGTCTCCCCGTCGCCAATCAACGCAGAATTAGGAAGGAGAAAAAGAAAAGAAAAAAAGAAAAAGGAACTCACCACTAGCTCCTCTCCATCGCAATATCAGTTTATGAGGTGGTGACTGAAGTAGGAGACAGTTTTCAGTCATGTGTCTTTTTTATTTATTTATTTATTTATCTTTTTTTTTTTTTTTGGGGGGGGGGGGGTTGTCTCCGTTCGCGAGGGTGGGTAGGAACGTGGGGGGAGAGAAGGGGTGTTTGTCCTCTGGCTGTGTGCGTCGCTGGTCGTGTGTGTGTGTGTGTGTTGTGTGTGTGTGTGGTCTGTTGTGTGGCCTCTGTGTCTCTGCCTGTCTCTTTTCTCTGTCTCTATCTCTGTTGTCTCTCTCTCTCTCTCTCTCTCTCTCTCTCTCTCTCTCCCTCTCTCTCT